CTTGTCCCTCCTCACCCCCTCCCCTCTTTCCCTTCCCTCCCCCTCCTCCTCTCCTGCCTCATCCTCTGGCAGAAGTAGAGAAAGCCGAATCAGGATTTATCGATTCACACAAATCAAATTACTTCTCCTTCCATCCGTTGCCTCCGACGCTAATAATCGTTAACAGAGCAGAAGGACGGTAATCGTGCTCTGACATCACCACACTGATGACGGGCTACATTCAATACAATACGCAGGCCAGGCACAACGGAACGGTGTGGAATGAAGGATAGGTGAAGTGGGGTGGTGGTGGAATGAGGGGTAGGGTGAAGTGGGGTGGTGGTAGAATGAGGGGTAAGGTGAAGTGGGATGGTGGTGGAATGAGGGGTAGGGGTGAAGTGGGGTGGTGGTGGAATGAGGGGTAGGGTGAAGTGGGGTGGTGGTGGAATGAGGGGTAGGGTGAAGATGGGGTGGTGGTGGTGGAATGAGGGGGTAGGGGTGAATGGGGTGGGGTGGAATAAGGGGTAGGGGAAGTGGGGTGATGGTGGAATGGGGGAGGGAGGGTGTTGAAACGGGGTGGAATGAGGGGTAGGGTGAAGTGGGGTGTGTGTGGAATGAAGGGTAGGGGTGTTGAGAGGAGGGGTGGATTGAGGGGTAGGAGTGAAAGTGAAATGGGTGTGGAGGATGGGTAGGAGGTGTTGAAGTGAGAGGGGTTGGAATGAGAAATTAGGGTGAAGTGGGAGGTGGGTGTGGAACAGAAATAGGAAGTGTTGAAATCGACTGGGAATGAGGTTAGGAGTGAAATTAGAAGTGGGTGTGGAGTGAGGGTTAGGGTGAAGTGGGATGGGGATGGAATGAGTGTCTAGCGTGAAGTAGAATGGGGGTGGGAATGAAGGACAGGGTAGAAGTGGGGTGGTATAAGGTGGAATACGACAAGGGTTAATGGAATGGGTGAAATAAGGGCTAGGGTGAAGTGGAACGTGGAAATGTAGGTAGGTGTTGGAGATGGGGTGAATAAGGGCTAGTGTGAAGATGGGGTGGTTCTGGAATAGGAAACTGGACTGGACTGAGTTTAGAACGGGTGGATTTAGGAATATTCCAGAGAATCACTTGGATGGGGACACCAGAAATGGGGCTTAACACTTTGTGGATGTGGGGAATCGAACCTGGCCTCGGAGTGACGATACCGAACCACTGGGCTACCCCAACGCCCCGGAATAGGGGTGAAGTGGGAGTGGGGGTGGAATGAGGGCCAGGGTGTTGAGATGAGGGGTAGAATGACGGGTAGGGTGAAGTGGGGTGGTTCTGGAATGAAAGGAGTAGGGTGTTGAGAGAAGGGGTGGGTGAGGGTAGTGTGAAGTAGGAATTGGGTGTGGCATGAAGGGTAGGGTGTTGAGGAGGGGTGGATTGAGGGGTGAGTGTAAGAAATGGGAGTGGGTGTAGCACTTGAAGGTAGGGTGTTGAGGGAAGGAAGGGTAGAGGTAGGAATTGAAGTGGGGTGGGTGTGGAGTGAGGGAGTAGGAGTGAAGAAGTGGGGTGGGAGTTGGCATGAAGAGGGTAGAGGTGGAAGTGAGAGTGGGTGTCAGATGAAAGGATAGGGTGTCGGGACTCAGGTGGGAATGAGGGTAGGAATGAAGTAAGGTGTGGACTGAGGGTTAGGAATTGAAGATGGGGTAGACGATGGAATAGGAGTCTAGCGAGTTGAGATGAGGTGGAATAAGCAGGATGATAGGTGAAATTAGGAATTGAGGTGGTGGAATGAGGTGTAGGGTTAATGGGTCGAGAAGTGGAATAAGGGCTACAGGAGTGAAGTGGAGAGTGGTGGTGGAATGAAATTGAGGTGTTGAGACCCGGTGGGAATAAGGAGCTAGGTGAAGTAGGAGGTGGTTCTAGAATGAGAAATTAGGAGTGTTGAGAGATTGCAGGTGGTATGAGGGTAGGGTGAAGTGAGATGGGTGTGGAATATGAAATTGGGTGAAGTGAGATAGGTGTAGAATGAGGGTAGGGTGTTGAGAAGAATTGGTTGAGGGCAGGGTGTTAGAGGTGGGTAGTATATGAGGGTTAGGTGACGTGGGGTACGTGTGGAATGACATTAGGGTGTTGTTGGGTGGTGGTATAGGGAGTAGGAGTGAAGTAGGGCAGTTCCTGGAATGAGGTAGGAGGTGTTGAATTTGGTGGTATGAGGTTAGGGTGAAGTAGAATTGGGTGTGGAATGAAAAGGGTAGGGTGAAGTGAGATCAGGTGGGAATAAAGGCGCAGGTTGAAGTGAGTGTTGGGAATGAAGGCGTAGGGTGAAGTGGGAGTGGAATATAGAAATTAAGGTGATGTAAGTACAAGGTGAAGTAAGGGTGTTGGTGGGAATGGCTAATGCCGGACTGGTAGGTGTGGAATACATTTTGTATGTTTAGGGTCAGTTTTGGCACACACGCTTAAAATCCTGTACGTGAAGTTTATTATCTGTATTTTAGTAGTTTTGCTAGCTATGACGGATGGAAGTCTATGTAACACATTACATTTGTATTTATGGCGATAGGAAGAGACATATCTGAAGTATATCTCAGTTCACCTTGGCGTTAGTATGTCAGCCGATCCGTTTATCTGGCAGTCAATTCTCCCTTGCAGACCCATTACACGACAGTTCCTGCTCACGATGTCGAGTTATTTACCATCGCACCGGACATGGATTATACAGCGAAGCTTGATTTTAACATGTTTACAAAGTGTACATGCGATAATATCCACGAACATGGTTAGGGAGTATTACATGCGATATTGTAATCCACTGACATGATTAAAGACGGACATGCGATTAATTATTGTAATCCACTGACATGGTTAGAAGTGTACGTGCGATGTATGAGAATCCATTGACATGGTCAAAGGTATGCATGATAGTAGTGAAATCCATTGACATGGTTAGGGAGTGTGCATGATCACGTGTATGTAATCCCACTGACATGGTTGAAGTGTACACATGCGATGTATGTAATCCACACTGACGCTGGTTAGAAGCGTGTGTACATGCGATGTGTGTGTAATCCACTGACATGGTTAGAAGTGTACATGCGATGATGTAATCCACTGACTTGGTTCAAATGTACATGGTTAGAAGTGTACATGCGATGTGTGTAATCCACTGACATGGTTAGAAGTGTACATGCGATGTGTGTAATCCACTGACATGGTTAGAAGTGTACATGCGATGTGTGTAATCCACTGACATGGTTAGAAGTGTACATGCGATGTGTGTAATCCACTGACATGGTTAGAAGTGTACATGCGATGTGTGTATGCGATGTGTGTAATCCACTGACATGGTTAGAAGTGTACATGCGATGTGTGTAATCCACTGACATGGTTAGAAGTGTACATGCGATGTGTGTAATCCACTGACATGGTTAGAAGTGTACATGCGATGTGTGTAATCCACTGACATGGTTAGAAGTGTACATGCGATGTTAGTAGTGTCGATGTGTATCCACTGACATGGTTAGAAGTGTACATGCGATGTGTGTAATCCACTGACATGGTTAGAAGTGTACATGCGATGTGTGTAATCCACTGACATGGTTAGAAGTGTACATGCGATGTGTGTAATCCACTGACATGGTTAGAAGTGTACATGCGATACATGCGATGTGTATAATCCACATGCGATGTGTGACATGGTTAGAAGTGTACATGCGATGTGTGTGGTATCCAATCCATGGTTAGACATGGTTAGAAGTGTACATGACATGATGTGTGTAATGACAAGTGTACATGCGATGTGACATGGTTAGAAGTGTACATACGATGTGTGTAATCCACTGACATGGTGTACATGCGATGTGTGTAATCCACTGACATGGTTAGAAGTGTACATGCGATGTGTGTAATCCACTGACATGGTTAGAAGTGTACATGCGATGTGTGTAATCCACTGACATGGTTAGAAGTGTACATGCGATGTGTGTAATCCACTGACATGGTTAGAAGTGTACATGCGATGTGTGTAATCCACACTGACATGGTTAGAAGTGTACATGCACTGACATGGTTAGAAGTGTACATGCGATGTGTGTAATCCACTGACATGGTTAGAAGTGTACATGCGATGTGTGTAATCCACTGACATGGTTAGAAGTGTACATGCGATGTGTGTAATCCATTGACATGGTTAGAAGTGTACACTGACGATGAAGTGTAATCCGACTGACATGGTTAGAAGTGTACATTACGATGTGTGTACACTGCGATGTGTACATGCGATGTAATCCACTGACATGGTTAGAAGTGTACATGCGATGTGTGTAATCCACTGACATGGTTAGAAGTGTACATGCGATGTGTGTAATCCACTGACATGGTTAGAAGTGTACATGCGATGTGTGTAATCCACTGACATGGTTAGAAGTGTACATGCGATGTGTGTAATCCATTGACATGGTTAGAAGTGTACATGCGATGTGTGTAATCCATTGACATGGTTAGAAGTGTACATGCGATGTGTGTAATCCATTGACATGGTTAGAAGTGTACATGCGATGTATGTAATCCATTGACATGATTAGAAGTGTACATGCGATGTGTGTAATCCATTGACATGGTTAGAAGTGTACATGCGATGTGTGTAATGCACTGACATGGTTAGAAGTGTACATGCGATGTGTGTAAACCACTGACATGGTTAGAAGTGGTGTCTTTCCTCGTAGTCTGTTCACTTACAGACAACATAGCTTCACTGATATACTATCTGCCTCTCCACCACCACCAAACCACATCCCATGCGGTAGGCAACGACGTAAAGCTATGCATATAATGAGTTCGAATCCAAAATTTATGACCCTTTGTCCATCAGCATGACAGCTGTGGATCTCATCAAAGCGTGACACGTCTGCCATGTGGGATTTCCTCTCGCATGAATTAATCTAACTGCGAGGTGATTTGAATATTCCACAAAGCGGCGTTCGACACGACTCACACTGAACAGTAGAAAGCATGCAACGTCTTGTGTTGAGCAATATTGTCACGCATTTTAGTTCCAGATGAAGGCCACTGGGAGAGTCGGGAAGTTCTCAAGAGGGGGCGCCACCTGTTTCCGTTCCAGTATAAACTTCCTGAAGGGATACCCTGTTCTTTCCAAGGGCCGGACGCGTCGGTCAACTACACTGTGCAGGGAATCGCTGTGCGCCAGAGCGGCGAGAACCTTACCACACAAAAAACGTTTACCGTCCTCAGAGATCTCGACTCAAAGCGGGATTCTGAAAAACGAACCCCCTCGGTAAGTATGTGCCCAGAGCCAGACTTGACTAGATTACAGGCATAGCATATTGAAGTCGTGACGAGATTAACGTAAGCCTGAAATTCGGGAGACTATGACTTTAAGGTTAACGGAGGTTAAGTTCTTTTGCATCGCTACACCAAGCTGTGGCCTTCACACCTATGTGATGTCAGTGTGTAAGATCCAAAAGTCTATCATATGTCTCGAGAAGTTCTTATTGCTGTGGGGCTGTGGGGTAGCCTAGTGGTTAAAGCGTTGGCTCGTCACGCCGAAGATCCGGGTTCGAATACCCACATGGGTACAATGTGTGAAGCCCATTTCTGGTGTCCCCCGACGTGATGTTGCTGGAATATTGCTAAAAGCGGCGTAAAACCAAACTCAGTCTTATTGCTGTAAACTATATTTATAGTCCACCATTTTATTATCTTTCCAGCTTGGCAGTATATGTTTACTGTTGTGTTCAATATGAATATTTCAATCTTACTCAAAAACATGTTGAAATTTAATCCTTTCACAAGTGTGCAAGTGTCTGGTTACGTTAAGCAGTCCCTTGAGAATCCGTGGATCGTGGACTTGAATCCAGGCCGGACACTATACGTAAATGCCCTTCAAAGACACTATGCGTCTTTGTTTGCGAGCAGCATATCGTGCACGTGGGTTTCATCAAACTGGCAAAAACCAAGGGATTGCATCAAGTCCAACTTCCACACCAACCTAAGGCAGCAAACCAAACTCACAAACAAACTCCCCCACCGAAATCCATCTGGATAGTTTGTCCTCAATCTGGTAGTTCCGTGAAATTATTCAGGCCTAGCTCTATGGTGTATATCTTGTTGTGCACGTTAGGCCTGGTGTATGTTATCTTCCTGTTACCAACCAGCATATCGATGTTGCTATTTGTACTCTTCCCTTCTCAGCCCCGACACCCCCTGGAGGATCATGCCGAACGGTCATTCAGTACCGTGTGTTGCCGCCCTGGTCGAGTCTCCTGCTCGCTCTCTGTCATTAAACGTGCGTACGTCCCAGGGGAGGTAATCCGGGCGGACGTGCAACTCCAGAATCTTTCCATGCGCAAGTCCGGCATCTGTAAAGTCCAGTTAAAACAGGTGAGGTTTGCAGAGACGTTTTAAAGTGAAAAACATGCGTATGTATACTGAATAACTGGTTATGCTTGACGATGTTAGTTTAGTTTCGGTGGGTTGCTTGATGGGCCTCTAGACGCAGTTTTGTAAAACTGTTCTTATTTGGCGTCGTCCAGAAACAAACCAAACCTTTGTCTTGTCAGTCGAGATCATACTGCCATGTCACAACAGGCACCTTTATTGCAATCCCGCGGATAAAGGGGACACTTCTGTTGGCCGTCATGAAAGTGTTCACTGTTTTCAAACATCCATGTAATCTGGTATCCCATACGGCCACCTCCCCCTGTACACACTACCGTCACCTACACCCTGTCTACTTGGCATATCCAGGGGAGGAGATAATAAACATGGTCAATATAAAGGTTTCTATAAGATTATCTCATTGTCCGCGAAGGACAATGTGGGAGTCTACAAGCAAGCACGCACGCACGCACGCACATACGTACATACATACATACAAACACAAGTGATGAAACACCGAGATGAAACACCCGAGATACCGTATCATGTCAGCAGGTAGACAGATTGTCATTTGCTTCAAGACCGTCCATAAATACAGTTGTGCACGAAAGCGCTATTATCGAAAACGATATCAATTCATCACCATCCTTGGCGAGCGCCGTGTACCCTCAGCAGTCCTCGTACATCATGATGTACCTTTCTGCGTTGTCATTTATTGGAACAACAATTGTAAATCTGTGATTTCTTGATGCAAAACCGTCCCCAGGCCACGCGTCGACTCCTGGTATGACAATGCAATCAATCTGGTTCACATCACAGGGACCAACCTACCTTAAATGTCTATGGGAGATTTGCTTAAAACATCAGCATAATCTGTAATGGAAACAGACCTATATGTCTGACTGACATACATATGCCTAAAACGCATGACCTATATGCCTGAAACACATGAACTGTATTGCTGAAACACGAGACCTATATGTCTGAAACACGAGACCTATATGTCTGAAACACGAAACCTATATGCCTGAAACACATGAACTGTATTGCTGAAACACGAGACCTATATGTCTGAAACACGAGACCTATATGTCTGAAACACGAGACCTATATGCCTGAAACACGAGACCTGTATGCCTGAAACACGAGACCTATCTGTCTGAAACACGAGACCTATATGCCTGAAACACGAGACCTGTATGCCTGAAACACGAGACCTATATGTCTGAAACACGAGACCTTTATGCCTGAAACACGAGGCCTATATGTCTGAAACACGAGACCTGTATGCCTGAAACACGAGATCTGTATGCCTGAAACACGAGACCTGTATGCCTGAAACACGAGACCTGTATGCCTGAAACACGAGACCTATATATCTGAAACACTAAATCTATATGCCTGAAACACGAGACCTTTATGTCTGAAACACGAGACCTATATATCTGAAACACGAGATCTATATGTCAGAAACACGAGACCTTTATGCCCGTAACACGAGACCTTTATGCCTGAAACACGAGACCTGTATGTCTGAAACACGAGACCTATACGTCTGAAACACGAGACCTGTATGCCTGAAACACGAGACCTATATGTCTGAAACACGAGACCTATACGTCTGAAACACGAGACCTGTATGCCTGAAACACGAGACCTATATGCCTGAAACACGAGACCTATACGTCTGAAACACGAGACCTATATGTCTGAAACACGAGACCTATATGCCGGTAACACGAGACCTTTATGCCAGTAACACGAGACCTGTATGCCTGAAACACGAGACCTATATGTCTGAAACACGAGACCTTTATGCCTGTAACACGAGACCTGTATGTCTGAAACACGAGACCTGTATGCCTGAAACACGAGACCTGTATGCCTGAAACACGAGACCTGTATGCCTGAAACACGAGACCTATATGCCTGAAACACGAGACCTGTATGCCTGAAACACGAGACCTATATGCCTGAAACACGAGACCTGTATGCCTGAAACACGAGACCTATATGTCTGAAACACGAGACCTTTATTTCTGAAACACGAGACCTATATGTCAAAAACACGAGACCTATATGTCAAAAACACGAGACCTTTATGCCTGTAAGACGAGACCTGTATGCCTGAAAGACGAGAGCTGTATGCCTGAAACAGTACTGGATTACTGATTATTATTATGCATGTTGACCAAGCTGTACGTGTACGTCAATGCGATCTCGTGCTAATGAAGATGTCACCACCATATATAGATACTTGATTGTCACTGGCCTAAGGCTGGCTTAGAAATTGAATTAATGTGATCTTATCCATGTTAAAAGTTGACAGCTGATGGAGAGATCAAATGACAAAGTTTCAAGACACGTGTTTGATAGAGCACTCACGTCATACATCGGCTCCGCGTTGCTGTACATGTCGTGCAGTGCAGCTCACGTTTACAATGACAGTCACGTGCAGCATAGGTGAATAGCCCTCTACAGCAACACTTCACTCTACCTGTAATAAAGTCAGAGTCTGAGTTGACAGCATCGCGTTATATATGAATCAATAAAAACCACTAGGATATATACAGTTACAGAATACTTGTATCTCGACATCTGCAGGACGTCATATGTGATGTCCACTGCGATGTCAGTTTCATAATATCGATTGATATTACATCTGAAAAAAAGCCGTACTTCATTATGCTGAACATGATATAATGTTGATGAGACAAAAACAATAATCGATAGCTGTATCTCTAGTGATGATTGGGTCGATGCTTCCTGTATTCTCCCTTTATCCGGCAGGATACCAATATCATCAATGTATATTATTCTTTCAGTGAATAATCTTTCGTCCGGGATATTTACTTTTCGTTTGGCCTCATCCTATTTACAATGATAGTTGTAAATAGTACATTATATTGGCGTTCCAGAGAGCATCAAGGAGCGACGAACATTTTCGTTATGTTGGAACTCTAACGTCCAAAAATCGATATAATTCTAAATATCCTGCATCGTCAGACATATGTCTGTAGGTGAATGACCTTTCATGCAATAGGTTTCTCTTTGATGAGGTAGTGTGACTGTTCCTTCACCGGCACACGGAGGGAGCCAGGAGGGCAATCCACATCGATCAGCTGGAACAACCTCCAGACACCGCTGACAGCGCACCGCGCCACCGAGAACAGTCCACTCTTAAACTGACGTCTTATTGACATCAAAATCGTTCATCTTCCGCTTATTGTACACAGTAAAAGTGTATTCGATGAGCTTAATGTAACATCTTGTTTGATTGACAGCAGATGTCTGAATGGCTTGCCAGAATGGACAATATGGCAACACATGGGTTATGACCGGAGAGTCTCAATATGTGGCTGTATGTGGTAGTACATACCGGAACAGTTTCGAGTCATGAGAAGAATTATCTACAGATTATACAATAGCCTTTTCATACAGCTTTCACGTTTTCTGATGTGTGTTTTACAGTATACGTTTCCATAACGTCAGCACCTGTTGCCTTAATGCCAGCCGTATTCTTCACACGCTGGATTCCACTGCTGACACGCTGCCAACAGTGTAAGGAATTATGTCGTCATTGATTCACTAACGGAATCCTAAATCAACATGCAACAGCTACTTTAAAATGTTTTCCCTTCCACTGGGTGACATGTTTGTTGTTCAACGCCGCACTCAGCGATGTTCCATCTGTGTCACGGTGTCCTGTAACTGATCTGGACCAGACTATCCGATGATTGACATTACGAACACCCTAGTATGCAACTGAGATATGATGACATATTGAAGACCACTTCTAATCTTTATTTAAAAAACAAACAGATGACACATTAAGGGTCGAACGTCTGTATATATAGTTTTCAGTTAAAACAAATGACATACACGTCACTCCTACATCGGGCCCAGCTACCGGGTGCAGTCTGAGAGTGGGAGGACACGTGATCTAACAAGACAAATGTATAAACCTTATAAGGCTTCATCAATTGAAAAATATACGGAAGGTGCATCTAATTTCGACCTATCCTACGTATGGGGTGGTGATTCATCAATTATAGAAAACTGCTGTGGGCTGATTTGTTCTTCAACACAGTATAGTGGAAGAAGTTGTAGGACTGAGGTCACGAAGTGCTGCTTGCTGTGTGATGTAGCGGTACAGCATCAACGTCAGATGAAAGTCTTGTAACTGACATAGTCTCAGTAATTAAAGTATTATTAGACACAGTTTGCTGGAGGGGAACATACATTTAGATAGGACTTGCAATTGTCTCCGTTGGCACTGATTCATTCTTTTAAAAAACCCAACACTCTCTTGGAGAAGCCCCGAAACGTCTTATACAACACGCCCCGGATGTAGTTGGGCGTGTTCCTCCACAAGGTCATCTGGAAAAACCGTTTGAGTCATGGCTTAGGTTCGGCTGATTTTTGCTTTGCCTCTGAAGGTCTGTAAGGACATCGTACAGGACATCTGACGTCACTGAGTGGCTTGACATAGGTGCTATCTGTCTGTGTTTTATCGTCCTCTCCATGTACATCAGGTGAAGTGTTACATGTTTTATGGGATATTTATGACGAAAGTAATTTTCTGTAAGGCGGTAAATTGTAATGATGTGATGATTCTTAAAGGAACACGAGAATAATTTATGATGGAAAATTGTCAAACTGGTTTCCTCGGCTGTGCTAACACTCTCGAACTGATTCCTCTGGAACGTGACGTGTGGCGGTTTGTAAAGAAAACCAAACAGTAAACATTGAAAAGTTGTAGGTAGTGCTGGTGTAACAGGTGTAGGTGGTGCAGGTTTGGGTGGTCAGTTGCAGGTGTAGGTGGTTAGCTGCATATAGGTGCAGGTGATGCAGGTGTAAAGGTATAGGTGCAGGTGATGCAGGTGTAGGTGGTATAAGGTGCTGGTGATGCAGGCGTAAAGGTATAGGTGCAGGTCACGCAGGTGTAGGTGGTATACTCAATATGTGGCTGCATGTGGTAGTACATACCGGAACAGTCTCGAGTCATGAGAAGAATTATCTACAGATTATGCCAATAGCCTTTTCATAAAGCTTTCACGTTTCTGATGCGTGCTCTTTACAGCATACGTTTCCATAACGTCAGCACCTGTTGCCTTTAATGCCAGCCGTATTCTTCACATCGCTGGATTCCACTGCCGACACGCTGCCAACAGTGTGGCGAAATTGTCGTCATTGATCCACTTAACGGAATCCTAAATCAACATGCAACAACTACTTTAAAATAAGCCTTCCACTGGGTGATATGTTTGTTGTTCAACGCCGCACTCAGCGATGCGCGTTCCAACTGGTGTCACGGTGTCCTGTACCGATCTGGACCAGGACTATCCTGATAACTGACACATGAAACAACTTAGCATGCAATTGAGATATGATGACATATTGAAGACCACTTCTAATCTCTTTATTTAAAAAGAAGCAGATGACATTAAGGGTCGAACGTTCCAGTGGTATATATAGTTTTCAGTTGTTAAATGACACACAGTCATTCCTACATCGGCCCAGCTACCGGGTGCAGTCTGAGGAGGAGGGGAGGACACGTGATCTAACAAGACAAATTTATAAACCTTATAAGGCTTCATCAATTGAAAAATATACGGAAGGTGACCACTCGACCTATCCTCACGTATGGGGTGGTGATTCATCAATTATAGAAAACTGCTGTGGCTGGATTTGTTCTTCAACACAGTATAGCGGGAAGAAGTTGTAGGACTGAGGTCACGAAGTGCTGCTTGCTGTGTGGGATGTAGCGGCACAGCATCAACGCCGATGAAAGTCTGTAACTGACATAGTCCAGCAATTAAAGTATTATTAGACACAGTTTGCTGGAGGGAACATACATTTAGATAGATCTGTAATTGTTCCGTTGGCACTGATTCATTCTTTAAAAACCCAACACTCTCTCTTTGAGTAGCCCTGAACGGCCTTTTACATATACAACACGCCCCGGATGTAGTTGGGCGTGTTCCTCCACAAGGTCATCTGGAAAACCGTTTGAGCCATGGCTTAGGTTCACGGATTTTTTGCTTTGCCTCTTGAAGGTTTGTACAGGCCTGTGACCAACAGTGACATCTGACGTCACTGAACAGAGTGGCTTTAACATAGGTGCTATCTGTCTGTGTTTATCGTCCTCCATGTACATCAGGTGAAGTGTTACATGTTTTATGGGATATTTATTAGGACGAAAGCAATTTCTTGTATATGGTAACTGTAATGATGGATGATCTTTAAAGGAACACGAGTATCAATTTATGATTGAAAATCATCAAACTGGTTCCCTATTGTGCTGACTCTGAACTGATCCTTGAACTGATCGTGGTCTTGTAAATGAAACCCACTGTCCCATGCCAGTCTGGGTAATCATGGTCAATGGACAGGTGACGCTGGACGCACAGCAATCACTAGGTGAGACAGGTGCATGACGCAGAGGACGCAGAGGCTGGAGTGACGGAGGAGGAGGGAACGAGAGGCACACACAGGACCGGCCACAGGCAGGAGGCACAGACAGACGCAGACACAGACGCAGGAAGAAAAAGGAACGCACAGCACACAGACACAAGGACTGCACAGGGTGAAAACAGGACAGAAAGGGTGCACAGAAGACAGGTGGATGCAGTGGTGGCAGGAAGAACAGGTGGATGCAGGGTGGATGGATGCAGCAGTGGTGGCAGGGACGGAAAGGATGCAGGCAGCAGGATGCAGGCAGGTGGTCTTGTTGGTACCGCAAAGTGTAGGTTGGTGATGCAGTTGTAGGTGGTATATGGTGTCAGATGCAGATGTAGGTACATAGCTGCTGGTGATGCAGGTATAGGTGCCGGGAGATGCAAGGCAGGTGCTGGTGATGCAGGGTGTGGCATAGGTGCGATGCAGTGGATGGTGTAGGTTGTTTAGGCAGGTGATACACGTTGGTGGCATAGGTGCAGGTGATGCAGGTGGTGGTGGTATAGTGTTGGTGACGCAGGTGTCGTCCAGTGGCATAGGATGTTGAAAGGTATAGGTGCAGGTGTAGGTTGTATAGGCAGGTGATGCAGCTTGTAGGTGGTATAGGCAGGTGATGTTGGTGCAAAGGTATAGGTGTAGTGTAGGTGGTATAGGTGCAGGTGATGGGGTTGTAATAGGTGCAGGGTGATGGCAGGGTTGTATAGGTGCTGGTGATGCAGGTGCGTAGGTGGTATAGGTGCTGGTGATGCAGGTGTCGGTGTAGTGATATAGGCAGGTGATGTTGGTGTAAAGGTATAGGTGGAGGTGATGCAGGTGTCGGTGTAGGTGGTGGCAGGTGATGTTTGTGTAAAGGCATAGGGTGCCGGGATGATGCAGGTGTAGGTTGTATAGGTGCAGGTGATGGTGGCGCGGATGCATGTTCAGTTGCCTTCATGACTATGCTGAAACTACTCAGAAATACTGTTAAACACGGTGTTACAAACCAACTCACTCACTTCCACCTTACCCGACCACCGTGAATATTTACTTATTCAGATCGTACATACCACGAAATATCGCACTACCACTTCTGAAAGAACACAAATACCAGATCATCAATATTGCATACATATGTACAAAGCATTCACCATTAACAACCCAGAAAACCACATTACTCATAAATACATCTTTCTTAACCGATACTCCATAACGTAGATTTACCAATTCTCTTCCTTTCAGCCTACAGATCCAGAACACAACACGTCGTTCCAACTTCCACACGCCCTCATACTCAGTCTTAGGAACCAATACTGAATGGCACCGTTTTCTCAAAGCAATCATATGTATCTACCCGAAAGACCATGTCCGCCGACGTCATAAGGCGACGTTAGTCATACTAACACAGAGAGACACTGGCACGCAACCGGAATAATTGTTTTCTACATTCATTGACGTCCTTCTGTTGTGTTTGTTTCCAGTTGCTCATCTACGGGATGTCCACAGTAAGTCTCTGGTGTTAGCGAGGCCCGGCCTGTTCGACGGCATTCGCCCTGGGCAACGTCGTCACTGGAAGGATTTCCTTACCGTCGCCCCCTAACGTGCCCGTCAAGGTTTAGCAAATGTCGCGTCATCGACGTCGATATTGCGTAGCGGTGAAAGTACTTCTTTCCACATATGATGCCAGTTTGAGGCAAGTCGAAAATACAACAGTATAATGCTATTAAATCAATAAATTTCTCTTGGTCTGTGAGACAGCATTAGCAAATGATATGTGTGGAACCCTAGGAATATCATACTGTAAAGGGGTTGATTGATATGTTTTCAGTCTCACACAGAAGGAAGTGCCGAACACTGAAATGTTTCTTGTAGTCATCAGATGATGTCAAAGGGGTATATGTACATAAACACGGGGTAAAGTAATCAGTTCTGTGACAAGTCAGTAGATTAGCAATGATTTGTGACATTTGGTAATCGACAAATGTCACAAGGTACAGCAGGAAAATAAGAGAGAGGCTTTACACGAAGCGTGCTGGTGATGCAGGTGTAGGTGGTATAGGTGCAGGGAAGATGCAGGTGTAGGTGATATTGGTGTAAAGGTATAGGTGCTGGTGATGCAGGTGTAGGTTGTTTAGGTGCAGGTGATGCAGGTGAAGGTGGTATAGGTGCTGGTGATACAGGTGTAGGTGTAGATGATATAGGTGCTGGTGATGCAGGTGTAGGTGTAGGTGGTATAGATGCTGATGATGCAGGTGTTGGTGGTATAGGTGCTGGTGATGCAGGTGTAGGTGGTATAGGTGTTGGTGATGCAGGTGTCGGTCTAGGTGGTATAGGTGCAGGTGATGTTGGTGTAAAGGTATAGGTGCAGGTGTAGGTTGTATAGGTGCAGGTGATGCAGGTGTAGGTGGTATAGGTGCATGCGATGTTGGTGTAAAGGTATAGGTGTAGGTGTAGGTTGTATAGGTGCAGGTGATGCAGGTGTAGGTTGTATAGGTGCAGGTGATGCAGGTGTAGGTTGTATAGGTGCTGGTGATGCAGGTGTAGGTGGTATAGGTGCTGGTGATGCAGGTGTCGGTGTAGGTGATATAGATGCAGGTGATGTTGGTGTAAAGGTATAGGTGCTGGTGATGCAGGTGTCGGTGTAGGTGGTATAGGTGCAGGTGATGTTGGTGTAAAGGTATAGGTGCTGATGATGCAGGTGTAGGTTGTATAAGTGATGGTGATGCAGGTGTAGTGGATGCTGCATGTTCAGTTGCCTTCATGGCTATGCTGAAACTACTCAGAAATACTGTTAAACACGGTGTTACAAACCAACTCACTCACTCACCTTACCCGACCACCGTGAATATTTACTTATTCAGATCGTACATACCACGAAATATCGCACTTACCACTTCTGAAAAGAACACAAATACCAGATCATCAATACTGTATACATATGTACAAAGCATCTCACTATTAACAACCCAGACAAAAACCACATTACTCATAAACATATCTTTCTCTAACCGATACTCCATAACGTAGATTTGGAATAATTCTCTTCCTTTCAGCCTACAGATCCAGAACACAACACGTCGTTCCAACTTCCACACGCCCTCATACTCAGTCTTAGAACCAATACTTAATGGCACCGTTTTCAAAGTAATCATATTTATCTACCCGAAAGACCATGTCCGCCGACGTCATATATGACGTTAGTCATACTAACACAGAGAGTCACTGGCAATGCAACCGGAATAATTGTTTTCTACATTCATTGACGTCCTTCTGTTGTGTTTGCTCTCCAGTTGCTCATCTACGGGGATGTCCACAGTAAGTCTCTGGTGCTAGCGGAGGCCCGCCTGTTCGACGGCATTCGCCCTGGGCAACGTCGTCACTGGAAGGATTTCCCACTGCTCGTGCCCCCAACGTGCCCGTCAAGGCTTAGCAAATGTCGCGTCATCGACGTCAGATATTGCGTAGCGGTGAGTACTTCTTTTCCACATATGATGCCGGTTTGAGGCAAGTCGAAAATACAACAGCATAATGTTATTAAATCAATATATTTCTCTTGGTCTGTGAGACCCTGGGAATATCATACTGTAAAGGGGTTGATTGATATGTTTTCAGTCTCACACAGAAGGAAGTGCCGAACACTGAAATGTTTCTTGTAGTCATCAGATGATGTCAAAGGGGTATATGTACATAAACACTGGGTAAAGTAATCAGTTCTGTGACAAGTCAGTAGATTAGCAATGATTTGTGACATTTGGTAATCGACAAATGTCACAAGGTACAGCAGGTACAGAGAGGCTTTACACGAACCAATCCATGAAATACGCTTCACCGGGTGCTCCCGACAGAAAAAACAATGCCGTCACCTTAATAAAGCTTGATGTAAAGAAAATATTGACCTGCCTGGTTCCAAAGTGAAAGCCAAGCAAAGCATGTCACGTGATGATGAAGCTCTGTATGAAGCTGATCCTGAAAGGTTCTTTCATTGACGTGGGACAATGGATGAAACCTTGGTTCACCGCTCTCAGATTCAGGGCCCACACTATAATAAAACACGAAGTTGTGGAAATCACCAACCCTAATGTTGAGAGCATTCTGCTGAATGAGTTGGGCATGACAAAGGTTTCAGCACAGTGGGTTCCAGAAATGCCCAAAGTTCCTCATCTCCCTCGATCACGTCGTCTTGAAACATTCCCAGTTATATGTGTTGCCAATCAATAACCTGAGAGTGAGTTCACCACTATCAGCCAGAGATTCAACAACTGTTAAAACAACCAACCATCTGACGTCCATTCTTCAGTATGTTTCAACAGTAGGCAAGGTGATGGCTATGGTTTTTGGGTGTCCAAAGGAATCCTACGGATGGACTACCTGCCGATAGGCGGGACTATGAGTAACCATGCTCATGTCTGTGACAGATGTGAGAGGATATCAAGGTTACACGGTGTGGACACCTCACTCGAGATCAAGACAGTGGAGAACATTTACACCACCAGGACAGGCATGCGGCATCAGTGGGAGCGACACAACAGCATCGTTGACGGAAGTTTGCGAATCTTCGAAGTTTCTTATATGAAAACTACTTAAAAACGCATCCCCTGATGGTTGGGCTCAGAGCTCTTCTGTCAGTTGAAGTTTAACCTCACTTCAATAATATATTAGCTGTACCGTTACATCTTTGACCATATCAACAGTAGAAAACAACCGTGATACCTTTGAAAAGAGGAGTGACGGAGGATGACGGTAACTTTCAAATATCATTTCAGGTTGAAGCACACTTTTCCGATTCCGTTTTATATGCTGCAGTCCCAGTTACCGTGGTAACCATCCCAGAAAAAGGACTTATTCCAATAAAGTGGATGTACAGAGGTAAGGTGTAACCAAACGCTGTTTGTATGTATGTATTTGATCGACCAGAGCATAATTTTACCACTCCACATCATTGTACCACATCACTGTACCACACAACATCACTGCACCACTATACATCATTGTACCACAGCACCTCATTGTACCACATCACTGTACCACTATACATCATTGTACCATTGCATTGTACCGCACCACATCATTGTACCATCCGGGTTAGAATTGATCTTCAGTAACCCATGGTTGTCCTAAGAGGCGACTAACGGGATCGGGTGGTCAGGCTCGCTGACTTGGTTGACACACTTCATCGTATCCCAATTGTGAAGATCGATGCTCATGTTGTTGATCAATGGATTGTCTGGTCCAGACTCGATTATTTAGAGACCGCCGCTATATAGTCGGAACATTGCGGAGTGCGTCGTAAAACTAAACTCACACAATCACTCACATCATTGTACCATACTAAATCATTTTATCATACCTTATTGCCTCACCAAACCATTGTACAACACCACATCATTGTACAACACTGCACTATTGTAAGATACTGCACTATTGTCCCACATCACATCATTGTACCACACTGCAGTATTGCCCTGGGAATATAACGTACAAACACGTATGCATACGTTGGTGTTTGTGTGGCTGCTTGTGCTAATTAACTATTGGCGGTTAGGTGAGTGAGTGAGTGAGTGAGTGAGTGAGTGAGTATGGTTTTACGCCGCTTTTAGCAATATTCCAGCAATATCACGGCGGGGGACACAAGAAATGGGCTTCACAAATTGTACCCATGTGGGGACTCGAACCCGGGTCTTCGGCGTGACGAGCCAACGCTGTAACCACTAGGCTACCCCACCGCCCCTTGGCGGTTAGGTCTTGTATTGAGACACCATATAGCACTTTAACACAGAGTAGTGACTCTCATCTTGTCTTATACTCCGAATACCGAGCACCAGGCAGGGTACCAACAAGTACCATCTTTATACATGACGTGGCTGTAGTCCGAATGGCCGACGTCGTAGACCAGTACTTAGTAGATGCCTTCAATGTGGATTGCACGACCTGAGATAATGGTTCTTTTCTTTCCAATACTACCAGCTTTGTGTCCGGCCCCTCACTCACTCTACTTCAACATTTCAGAATGTCCACTGTCCAGCGGGGAGGATCAGGAGGAGGAGGGCGATGGAGTCCACTAAGGATTACCGACCTAAGTATAAGTACTACGAAGAGATTAGGGATGCGAGGAAGGACCGATATTACCTGCTGAAACTAAGGCAGAGTCCCGGGATTCGGAGGCGCCAGTTGGTGGCTAAAGCGGAACTGAGTGCAGGTATAAGACCCGACAACGTGGACCTGATCAGCGAGTCTCATGCATGATCACCTCAGTACGGCACGAGGAACTGGGAATGTCACTCCGGGCGTCATCGGCAGATTCCGCCGCGCCAGATGATTGATTGCTGTGTGACGTCAATCCATGATGAATGCTAGCGTCGTCTGGTGCTTGTGTTCAAGTTAATAAATGAAAGTTCGGGCGATGTTGGAGGTTTGTGAAGGGTTTGAGGTCAGTGTGTCAGATTCATATTTTGAATTCGTTCATAGACGAAAGTTGTACGTGTTCTAAAAGAATCTTTTCGCCGACAACTGACAAGAAGAAATATGATGTCCATACAGAGAAACATCAAGATTTGTGCAGTTTGTGAGATGTGCGTCCTGGATAAATATATCATAAGAATAAAAAAACCCTAACATATCAGCTGCACGAGAACAGGTCATCTATGATGACGTCAATAATACCCACTTCCACCGATTCACCATTACCGGATATCCATCATTTGCAAATGAGAGTTGTCTCCCTGTTAACATGGCTGCCACCAGCTAGGCCATTCTCTACATTCCTCTTCTTGTCATTCTGCCTGTTTAGTTGTATAGTGCACTGTCACATACAGCCGAGCAACTAGGGAGAGGGTTTCGATCTGAGATGTCCACACTCCGTTATGTCATTTTAGAAACCTGCATTGATTTAAACATAATATTTGTCAGTAAAATTCTGTTTTAACTCTGTTAAGCATGAGACCTACTGTGTGGAAATTGTTATTTTGAAAAAGGTGTTTGGTCAATTTTTATCTTGTATTCATCGTCAATGTTTTTGTTTTTTTTACCTCTGAGACCAATACGTATCTCCTAAACACGACTTTGATTCGCCGTTTGAGCGCCGTTGTACAAAGCGATCTTAGCGCTGAGATGATCGTAGCCTCAACACAGGCTTACAACAGTCGAACCGCTGAGCTGGTTTCGCACAATGGCACTCTGTACGTCAAATATACATGTTATGATGATGCACTATATGAAGTCACGTTCCTTTGATTGTCTGTTAATTGATTAGGGATTGACTGGGTGACGTGATGAGTCAGGTGACTTTCATGTCATATATTTCCTGAGGGCTTTTTGCTGATTCTTACGACTGTCATGCTCAATACGTATACCCTGTGTAGCGGCTAGAAGACAATCGGTGAACATGTGGGTGCCTACCGCTATCTTTCTTCCTTCACTCTTGTCACAGCAAACCTTGTCAAATATGGGGTGATACAACTTATTGATTATTGATACAAACTCGTTTGGCACTCTTTATTTGATATTTATCGAATTTTATGCTCAAAAGACCACTGTTGCTGTCTTCTGTTTGCAGGAATTCCTTCACCTTGTTAATTGTACGTCTCCATATGACACGAAACAAAGTGAACGCCATTAACAAGGACAATCAAAGCTGAACTTATTTCATTAAACTAAAATTGGAGGCGTCTCAGTTTCTGATTCATTGCGCCAGCTGTGCAGCAAGGCATATGTTTTGTTTGATTGTTCAACATTTTCATATTCAACGTAAACTGTCTCATTCCCTTGTATGTTTTCTTCTGTTGCCACTTTACATCAGTCCAACATGTGCAACTATCTGCAAATACTTATTTCTGTCTCACTGTTCTACGCTCGCCTAGTACGGCCTTGTGGCTGCCTTCATTCCGAGTGTCCAACATTAATGTCGTGTCCATCCTTCAGGTTAGGATAACTACACGGATTCATGATTTGTGTGCAATACAGAAAATATCAACTCGAGTCAGGTATATTTCCTTCCTGCTTCAACAATTTCTTAAGCCTGGTTATTATTTTCAGCGACTGTGTGTGGTGTCTGGATAACCAACATCCTCATGTGTGGTGTCTGGATAACCAACATCCTCATGTGTGGTGTGTGGATAACCAACATCCTCATGTGTTGTGTCTGGATAACCACCGTCCTCATGTGTGGTGTCTGGATAACCAACATCCTCATGTGTGGTGTCTGGATAACCAACATCTTCATGTGTGGTGTCTGGATAACCAACACCCTCATGTGTGGTGTCTGGATAACCAACATCCTCATGTGTGGTGTCTGGATAACCAACATCGTCATGTGTGGTGTCTGGATAACCAACATCCTTATGTGTGGTGTGTGGATAACCAACATCCTCATGTGTGGTGTGTGGATAACCAACATCCTCATGTGTGGTGTGTCTGGATAACCAACATCCTCATGTGTGGTGTCTGGATAACCAACATCCTCATGTGTGGTGTCTGGATAACCAACATCCTCATGTGTGGTGTCTGGATAACCAACATCCTCATGTGTGGTGTCTGGATAACCAACATCCTCATGTGTGGTGTCTGGATAACCAACATCCTCATGTGTGGTGTCTGGATAACCAACATCCTCATGTGTGGTGTGTGTGGATAACCAACATCCTCATGTGTGGTGTGTAACCAACATCCTCATGGATAACCAACATCCTCATGTGTGGTGTGTGGATAACCAACATCCTCATGTGTGGTGTCTGGATAACCAACATCCTCATGTGTGGTGTGTGGATAACCAACATCCTCATGTGTGGTGTGTGGATAACCAACATCCTCATGTGTGGTGTCTGGATAACCAACATCCTCATGTGTGGTGTCTGGATAACCAACATCCTCATGTGTGGTGTGTGGATAACCAACATCCTCATGTGTGGTGTCTGGATAACCAACATCCTCATGTGTGGTGTCTGGATAACCAACATCCTCATGTGTGGTGTCTGGTTAACCAACATCCTCATCATGTGTGGTGTGTGGATAACCAACATCCTCATGTGTGGTGTGTGGATAACCAACATCCCGTCATGTGTGGTGTCTGGATGTGGTGTGTGGATAACCAACATCCTCATGTGTGGTGTCTGGATAACCAACATCCTCATGTGTGATAACCAACATCCTCATGTGTGTGTCTGGATAACCAACATCCTCATGTGTGGTGTCTGGATAACCAACATCCTCATGTGTGTGTGTGTGTGATAACCAACGTCCTCATGTGTGGTGTGTGGATAACCAACATCCTAATGTGTGGTGTCTGGATAACCAACATCCTCATGTGTGGTGTCTGGATAACCAACGTCCTCATGTGTGGTGTGTGGATAACCAACATCCTCATGTGTGGTGTCTGGATAACCAACATCCTCATGTGTGGTGTCTGGATAACCAACATCCTCATGTGTGGTGTCTGGATAACCAACATCCTCATGTGTGGTGTCTGGATAACCAACATCCTCATGTGTGGTGTCTGGTTAATCAACATCCTAATGTGTGGTGTCTGGTTAATCAGCATCCTCATGTGTGGTGTCTCGGTAGCGAACATCATCCTGTGTCGTCCAAAGATAAAAAAACCGTACGAATAAAACGCCTTTAAGTCTACACAATACACCATTATGAAGCCAGACACATACCTACAAGTTACATAGGAAACAGACTCGTCTTTAACATGGGATTATAACAAATGTTAGAGTGTCAAGATATGTCATTATCTTACTTTTTATGTTGTTGTTTTCAATGACACAGATCTCAGGTGATACAATGTAAAGAGCATGGGAGATATCGGAATAAACACACCTACCTACAGGAATGTGTGAGTTCTGTGCTACTTTAACTACTGTTGATATATTGAGGCTGACTGCTGTGGATCATCACGTCTTAATCCTCGGAGAAATGATAGCCAAGGAAGCTATGTGTAACTCACCGCCACTTACCTGTTCTAATACACGTTCTACTGGTAGAACACCTGGTGTTGTTTGGTTACTATTTGACGGTACACTCAGCAGTAAGTAATCAATCTGAACCAAGCAGTTTAGTGACTGACATCATGAGCACCTGGGATGACATCACCTGGGATGACATCACCTGGGATGACATGTATGAACCACGTGGACCTCATCCCTCGATCCCGTTAGTCGCCACTTACGACCAGCATGAATGGCTGAAGACCAAGGTTCACCCGGCTGGTAACACCTGTAAACACCAGGTGCTAACAAAGTCTCTTAATGATCCATACACATGAATTTCATCCCAGTTTTGCCTTGCGTGCTTCAGTTTCAGCGGACATCAGCAATTATTCCGTCAATTCGGCAACGTCCAATGTATGAAACATTGGGGTGCCCTTGAAGTTATTCGTGAGTTTCGTACATGCAGGAAACGGGGAAATAATAGCACCAACAAAGGCAATCCATTGTGGATCTCTGTGACATAGCCAAGTCTTCATTCATGACATATACTACCGGTAGGGCGGGGCATAGTCCCAGGGGTCAGCACTGGCAGATAGTCTATTGTGTTGCCTCCGTGGCATGTTCTCCCATAATTCTCTCCTCACTGCACATTTATTGCATAAGCATAATGCACTTGCAACTTTTTTGGTTTGCTTTTCGGCATGTTCTAATGTGATGTTGCATATTTTCACATTCTGCACCACAACCAAAACCTGTTGCTCATGGCTTTTCAGATTCGTCGTCATATATATTTCTGTTCATCAGAGATGACGTTAGACTCACTTTGCCCGAGATACTAAACAATATACGGACCACCGAATGGAAGTCCTGAAGTCTTTATTCAGTATTGGAATAAAGACTTCAAGAATAGAGCGTCTATCTGTAAAGAGTTTGATGCCAAAGGCTGTTAGAGAATCTTAAGGTGTTGTTGACAACGTTTACACCGTGTAAATGTGGATAGGTGAGCAATTGGAGGGTTTGGCTCCAGACTATTGTATCACCATGGACTGGCACAGTCAAGTATCATCTGGAGGGATATTAGTCCAGCTGGCATCCTTACAGAAAGCAGTTTCCAGGGAAGCAACATGTTTGTATAATGCCGTGCTGCGTCACCGTGGAGACACCTGCTAAAGGTTACATGTAAGTTGCCATAGAGACGTAAGATAACGTGTAACTCCTTGGTTGCCATGGTTTCATCAGCTGACGTACAGAAGTTTCATTTGGGACTGCAGGGGATGTAACCTTGGACGTTTGACAGGCACGAAGGGCAAGGAAATGTTTTACGTGTGTATTTGTGTATTCAGGACATCCGGGCCATTCTGTAAATACATTTGGGATGAGGTTAAACAGGTGCACATGAAAATAGGTACATAACAGCGCCACATCCAGGCCAAAGCGACATAAAAATCCGAGCAAGATGAGATATATTATTGGGTCCAGCAAATGTACCACTAAAGCCTTAATCCTCCACACTTTCAAGGAAGGACTATGTCGATATTCTCATATTGCATTTGAGGACAGGCGGAATTAATACAAGTGGATCTCAAAAGCGCAAAGGATTTGCTTGAGGTTTTACAATCTCAGAAACGTACCGATTTCAGTTCTGTCATAAGATTTGTTTCTTCAACCTTGTACAACACTATCCAACGTGACCAACCTGATGCAAAACGTCATTCCTTCACCCACGGGCCACTTGTAAACAGACACGAACATATACTTACATATCTATCTTCAGAGGTTGAGGACAATATGTCAGATACCACGTGAAGTTTACAGAGAAAACAAAATGTGAAATGCCGGACCTCCTCATTGATATAATCTTTCCCAAAAAATTGGGAACAAATATAGGCCGAAAGTGGGCATCCCCATTGTGCTCCCTCCATGCGGATCTGTTTCTATATGCATATGAATCAAAATTTCTGCTCGGGCTGGCAAAATCAAAACAAGGTAGTTACGCCAAAAAGTTTAA